TTCCCAGCAGGACTTGTCTCGGGCGCTGAGGAGCTGAGGTTCAAGTGAGGTTGAGTGCCTTGAAAACCAGTTATCTAACCAAGTACTAAAAAGAGGAGGAAGGTGAGGAAGACATTTAAGTAGAGATGAGTGCAGATGTTATTGCCTTCTAGGAGCTGTATTAAAATGTAAATTATAGTTAATGTCATCTTACAGGGAAGAAAAGCTCTTGAAATAAATTTCCTATTTTAAGGTAGTAGTGAACTGCTGTGAGTGCACAGCAAAAGTCCTTTTTATAGACTGTAATTAGCAGCCAGCTTCTGGTTGTTGCCTCCTTTGGCGCCTAAAGAGGAAAAAAGGCATTTGATAAAAGAGACCACAAACAAAATGCGTGGAGCTGCCCAGATCCCCTCACCAGCTGAGCCATTAGCCCTTTCCCAGAAGATGCCACCACTGTGTTACCCGTGTAGTTTCAGGAGAGGTTTGTAAACTGGTCTACGTCCATGCAGAATTTATGGCAGCCTGGTTTTCCTGGCGATCTGGTGAAGACCGCAAGGCTTTTGAGGCTTCCTGAGGCTGCCCCTCAGCCCAACACAGACTCGTTTGCTTGCATGAGTCAAAGGCTTGAGGAACTTCCAAGCTTTGCTCTCCGCTTTCTCCATCGAAATACTCTTCATTACTGGGGTAACAGGGAGCTGAGGTGCCCCAGGAAGTGGGAATCCCTGATGCATGAGGAGAACCACAGGATGCCTAAGGCCATGTGGAAAATCTGTGGGCTTCGGTGACCCCACTGGGTTTGGACCGTGCCTTCAAAGGGGTGGGAGATGTTTATGTCTTATTTTTTAAACCTTTCATTTCCCTAATTAAATCGACTCACTGTTCCTGTCTGCGTCCCATTTCTCTTGTGCGGGGCGCAGAAGCTGTAAAGCCACAAAGCCCCACTATGTCCCAACCAAAGATCCCTCATCTTGCCTTGAAAACGGTTGCTAGTGAAGAGAAACCTGGACTCCTGCTGTGTAGATGCTGCAATTAAACTGCCATTGCAGGCTTTAGTTCTCCAGGTGAATCGGTGCTGGAGCCCCAAAGGGGATCAGGGAGTTACAGAAGGGCAGGATCCCTGGGGCTGAAGGACAGAGCCGCAGCCGCTGCGTTGGGTGTAGCTTCTGAGCACCTAGAGCAGGCAGCCTCCAATCTCCAAGGCTGGAGACTCCTCAGCCTCTCTGTTCTGGTCTTTGATGAGCTTTATGGGGAAAAAAAGCTCTTACTTCCATTCAAATAGAATTGCTGGTATCTCAGTTTGCACCCACATGGATAAAGATTTACGTAGCCTCGGTGGCAGCCTGCAGCAAGCACTTCCACTCTGGACCAGACCTTTATTAGCAGGGATAATCTGCCAGGAAGCTCGGTAATTACTCAGCCTGGAGCTGCCTGGCGCTGGCCTCACCTCACCCTGGGGAGTGGGCAGGGTAGAGGGGCAAAGCCGAGGCTGACGTCTGTGTGCCCCAGCTCCCTCGTCCCAGACAGTGCCAGGAAGCCCTGCAGGTCTCACGCTGACACCGGAGCAGTGGTGGCAGGTCCCCTTGCCTCACAGGTAACTCCATCTCTTGGCCAAGCGGGTGCCAGGTTCGGGGGAGCCAGCCACGTGTCCAGGGCTGTCCTGGGATGCCGTGCCTGCCTTCACCCTGCAAATGCTGTTTCTTGGGGGCTCATGTCTGGCTGGTGGTAGCAGATGGCAATTCTGCTGATAATACTTGGAAAGCATCTACTCGGGCAGGGAGAGGCTGTCAAATTCATTATCCTGAGCAAACCAGACAGAGATTTAAGCTGCAAAGAAGATAAGAAGATTGTTTTACCAATCTCATCTTTGCTGTCTTCCTGGTGGCATGTGCATTTCCCCGGAGAGGGGTCTCACATGGAAGGAGGCGGCTGCTGTTCTGGGTGTTCAGGGTGTGATTCCCCACTCGCCCATCTGCAGCCCAGCAAGCAGGGAATGCAAAACCTTGCTCTGGCTCGGGAGCTGCAGCCAGGATATGCTCAAACAGCAAGGTTAGAGCCCACAGGCTGGGCTCATCTCAGACTCAGGGGTAAAACCACGGTCTGCAGCTGAGAGACCCTACATCCATTCGGCCGACAACCCTTGCAAGAGCAGAACAACCCCCAGCACCCTCTCTCTGGGCAGAAGAGGTCAAATTAATGCAAAGGGCTGCTTTGCATTGCTTGGCAGGGGCCACAGGTTGCTGCAAGGCTTTGCACCCACCCCTGCTGCACCTCCTGGATCCCACCCTGAAGGACTGACCATCCCTGCAGAGAAAGGAAGTCCAAGGGCTTGCCCACGCTTCAGAAGAGGTCAGCGTAGGAGTCCAGATCTCCAGGACCAGCTGCTGCCTCTGCTCCATCCCAGCAGACCCATTCCAGTGCACTCAAGCATTAGAAACTGGCACTGAATGAAGTTTTCCCTCTAATGATAGCGTTTGAGGCCAAAACCGGTGTGCACCGATCATGCTGCTCGCTAGCAATGTCTCAGCGCCATCCAGCATCTCTGCAAGCCTCCGTACAGACGTCTCAGTCTAAAGGAGCAATATGGGAGCTCCCCCTGCTGCCTTATCTGCCCTGCATGTGGGGTGCACTGGTTCCCCAGCACCTGGGTTTGCTCCGGCCTCCCCCTGCCACAGGCTGGAAACATCAGGCTGGGACTGCTAAAAGCAATCTCAGGGGTGGCTCTGCAAATGGCAACTCCCAAAAAAAAACCCCAGGAGCTGGCTAGGAGAGCGCTTCATAGCATTTCACAGAAGCAGATGTGTTGTCCCAGGTTGCAGGACTGGTGATTCTTCTCTTCCTGCTAGGTGATTAAGTAGAGGTGATTAAATGATAATTAAGCAACACGCGATGTGATTGATTGCCCTGCAGGTGTCATCTCCCCTCCTTGAAACCCAGGTTCATTCACCGCAGGAGGCTGACATGTGCTTCGTTTCACCTCCGGGTCCCTTGGACCACATGGATGCTCTAAGGAGGAGCTGCTCCTCAGCCCAGGGTGGGCATTCGAGCGCTGCTCTGCCTGTGGAGGGGTGGGCACACAGGCGCTGGGATCCACCGACTGCGGCACTGGGGACCCAACTCTGCTTTCAGAAACGTTAATCGCTGCTTATTGCAGTCTTCTCCGTCACGCTGCAGCTGCAGATGCTGATGCAAAGCTCATCTTTACTGTCTGTAACATCCTGAGTAGAGTGGGCTCTAGAGCTGCATAGCTTTCATAGAATCATAGAATCGTGTAGGTTGGAAAAGACCTTTAAGATCATCACATCCAACTGTTAACCTAACCCTGCCATCCCACTGCTAAACCATGTCCCTAAGCACCTCATCTACCCGTCTTTTAAATACCTCCAGGGATGGGGACTCGACCACCTCCCTGGGCAGCCCATTCCAGAGCCTGACTACCCTTTCTGTGAAGAAGTTTTTCCTAATGTCTAACCTAAACCTGCCCTGGCACAACTTCAAACCATTCCCCCTCGTCCTATCGTCCTTTGTTCAGTCCTGGTGAAAAACTTTACGCAGCTTTAAAGCTCTTCCAGAAAAAAAAGAAAAAAAATTCTCTGCCATGGGCACGTTCCTCTAAAGCATAAAACCTCTCTTCCTGAGCCGCTCTGCCAATCTCCCATCCACCGCCAGATCCATCTGTCTGTTCTGCTGGAGAAATCCCACTGGCGCCGGGTTCAGACCTGCACTGTGTCCTTCTGCGGGGATTCAGCATGAGGGAGCACCTTGCCATTGCTCTGAGGGACCAGCCCAGCCATCAAACACACCCTCACGGTATCGGAGCCTGAACCCCCTCCTCCCTGCTGTGTTTCAGGGAAGGTCAGCAGAGCCCACGGGCACCGGCCAAATCACACGCTTGGTTGTACCCCGCTGCTGGGATGCTGAAACCCGTTCCCCTGGGGGAACCATCCGTGGGTGCAAGCAGACGTGCTTTAGCGTGCATGCTGGGCAGCCCCAGGCGGAGCTTGGCCCAAGGCATGCGGGATTTATCTCCTCTCCCTGGCACACCTCTCCCTCTGAGCTCATCCCCAGACTCCCGCTGCAGCCGGTGGAAAAAAATGAGGCAGTTCTGCAGTGTGGTCCATCTCAGCTGATGGGCAACGAGCATCTCAAACACATCATTAGTCAGAGCAGAAGCTGGGGGAGGTGGTGCATTCATTCTGGAGGAGGCTGAGGGGAGACCTTATCACCCTCTACAACTGCCTGACAGGAGGCTGTAGTGAGGTGGGGGTCGGCCTCTGCTCCCTGGTAACGGGCGATGGGATGAGGGGGAATGGTCCGAGTTTGTACCAGGGCAGGTTTAGCTTGGACATTAGGAAACATTTCTTCCCCGAAAGGGCTGTCAGGCTCTGGAATGGGCTGCCCAGGGAGGTGGTCGAGTCCCCATCCCTGGAGGTATTTAAAAGACGGGTAGATGAGGTGCTTAGGGACATGGTTTAGTGGTGGGATGGCAGGGTTAGGTTAAAGGTTGGATGTGATGATCTTAAAGGTCTTTTCCAACCTAGACGATTCTATGATTCCTCTTGGAAATACCAAAATATCAGGCTTGCTTGTCACCGGGGGCGGTGGGGTACAGCTGCCCCAGAGCCAGCCCCGCAGCCCGGCTCCGCACCGAGGATGGATAGGGCAGCCCCACGGAGGCTGCAGCAGCAGCAGCTGTGTATCTATGGAGGTAGGCATTTGCTTTGCACGGAGTTCATAAGCTGTCATTTGGAAGCTGTCTTAATTAAAGACAGAGCAAGGAACTGCCCTACTGCTTTGAATAATTACGTGGGTTGATAATTTTGAGCTAAACATTTTCAGGTTTTCAAAGATGTGGAATTCGGAGTGTCTTGGCCAGTTCTGCCTTCTTCTCTTCCCTTGAGTCTTTGTCGCCCTTTGTGTTGCCCTGACCCTTTGGTGCCCACGCAGCATCAAAGCCCGTCTGCTCCCCGTCTCCCAAAACCCCAAAGCTCCAAGCAACACTGCTCTCCTTTGTCCCATTGCAGGTGGTGCGAGACCAGATTTCTCACTGCACGGTCAAGCTGCGCCAGACCACGGGCCTGATGGAGTACTGCCTGGAGGTCATCAAGGAGAACGACCCCAGCGGCTTCCTGCAGGTCAGTGGGGAGCTGCTCATGTCTGGGCTACGAGGGGAACGGGAAGGGCATTGCACAGACGAGGGCCCTGGGGTAACGCAGCAGAGTTAGGGGGAGTTACACCAAGGATGATGTCCGCAGCTTTTCCAGCCATGAAATCAAAGGGTCAACCTCTCATTACCTCCAAGTCACAGCAGGACAGAAGCAGAACCAGGCCAGGGACGCTTCTTACTCTGACAGGAGGAACAGAGGGTTGCAGCGGACGGTGGTGTATCTCTGGAGCAGTGATTGTAATGCGCTGTGCTGTGGTTCTGCAGCAAGGGACGGACACACGGCCCTTGAGAACTGCATCCCTTCATTTATTCCTGGGCTGGTCCCTTTGGTACTAGACCCTGCCTTTAAAATAATCCCCAAAGCTCCTGGGGTCCCTCTGTCAATTTGAGCAAGGGTGATGCTAGAAACCACATGTGATGTCCTGGCCTTTGGCAGTCAGGGACAGAAGCGGCAGCCTGGGAGGCGCGGGGATGAAGGGGAGCAGGGAAGGGACGAGGCACAGCACCCAGCTGAGGTGGCCCTTGGTAGCTGAGGCTGCTCCTTGCCACCAGATCTCCGACGCTCTCATCAGGAGAGTGCACTTAACCGAGGACCAGTGGGGAAAGGGGACACTCACACCCCGGATGACCACGGACTTCGACCTGAACCTTGACAATGCCCCTCTGCTGCAGTCCATCCACCAGCTTGACTTTGTGCAGATGAAAGGTAAGAATATTTCCAGTGCCTTTCAAAAGCCTGTCTCTGCTCATGTTGAGCGCTTCCATGCAGCTCTTCACAGGGGAGGGACAGCAGAGGACAGTTTCTCATCTTCTCACAGCAAGATTGGGCACCACAGGCCCAGAGTTACGCCCATTCCTGTGTATTTTGCACTCCTGGGCTAGCCATCTGCCTCCCTGTCTCTGATTCCTGGGCAGCCATGTGCCAGGTCAAGGTGCCAGGAGCTTGGTTTTGCCTGGCAGTGCTTTAGAAAGTGCTCTGCAGCGCTAGGAGAGCCAAGCTGGTCCCTGCTAAGATGGTGGAGGTTGGGACAAGTGTCTTGGGAGCAGCACGAGACACTTCCCAAACCTCTGCTCCCACACTGTATGAGGTTCAACAAGGCCAAGTGCTGGGTCCTGCACTTTGGTCACAACAACCCCATGGCAACACTACAGGCATGGGGCAGAGGGGCTGGAAAGCTGCCCGGCGGAAAGAGACCTGGGGGTACTGGTCGACAGGCGACTGAATATGAGCCAGCAGGGTGCCCAGGTGGCCAAGAGGAGCAACAGCATCCTGGCTTGGATCAGGAGTGGTGTGGCCAGCAGGAGCAGGGGACTATGGGTGCAGGCAGGAGCCTTAACTGTCACCGTGCTGTGTCTGTGTCAAGTACTAAGACCAGACAAGGAGAATTGTAAAGCCCTAGATTAACACATGATGAGAGCAGCTTCAGCACCTGCAGGTAACCTCTGCTCCCAGGTAACAGACAATAGGACGAGGGGGAATGGTTTGAAGTTGTGCCAGGGCAGGTTTAGGTTGGACATTAGGAAAAACTTCTTCACCGAAAGGGCTGTCAGGCTCTGGAATGGGCTGCCCAGGGAGGTGGTCGACTCCTCATCACTGGAGGTATTTAAAAGAAGGATAGATGAGGTGCTTCGGGACAGGGTTTAGTGGTGGGATGGCAGGGTTAGATTAAAGGTTGGACTTGATGAAGGCCTTTAAGAAAAGGTCTTTTCCAACCAAAGTGATTCTATGATTCTATACGCTCGCTTGCTCAGTGCTGAGCAGCATCTGGCACGGGCCATCTGGCAATCCACCTTCCCCCTCCAAACACAAAGAGCCACAGCACTTGGCTCGGGAGCTTTCCTCCCTCTCTTCTCCTCCCTCTTGTTTTAGACCTTTATTTCAGTTTTAATTTCCTCCTCACTCTCCGTTCCCTCCATGCTCACTCCCCCACGCCCCGGAGAGCCACTGCATTTGCATCGCTTTGCAGGAGGCAGAGAACTGCTGCAACCTGTGAGCAATTTGCGACTTGGCAAGCCCCGGGAAGCTGGCAAGAAGATGCAAATGGTCTGTGATGCAGGGAGCTCAGGGGGACATTGAACGTAAGCCTGTGCCTTCAGCTGGTGCAAATGAGCTACCTGGAGGAGAGGCCACCAGCCGTGGGCCTGGCACGGCTCTTCCTCGCCGACACGGCTGGCTTTCCTGACTCGGGAGCCATTTGCACACACCAGCATTTCTCAGTGGTCAGAGACAGGAAAGCTCTCGACCACGTGCTTCCTCCATAACGATAACTAGTGTCTTCAAATAATGGCCCCACCGGTGTTTGCTGCAGTGGGAGGGGTGCATCGGGCATGGCGCTGGGAGCAGCGCTCCTTGCTCATCGTTAGCCAGGCCGTTAATTTGAGGTGTCAGTAACATCTTTTGATAGCAAGGGGAGCCAAAACCAGGGCTGGATTGCTGTTTTGCTTACACATGAGTTGCGGAAACGTTAGCATCTTCCTGCCCTCCCTTATCTCAATTTAGCCCAGAGGGTTATTTTTAATTAATAAGAGCAAATCTGCTCCTAGTTTAGCTGCCCGCCCTCCTCTGTGGAGGATGTTGCATTGCTGGAGCATGTCCAGAGGAGAGCCACAAAGCTGGGGAGGGGTCTGGAGCACAAGGCTTACAAGGAGTGGCTGGGGGAGCTGGGGGGGTTCAGTCTGGAGCAGAGGAGGCTGAGGGGAGCCCTCATCGCTCCCTACAACTGCCTGAGAGGAGGGGGGAGCCGGGGGGGTCGGGCTCTGCTCCCAGGGAACGGGTGATAGGACGAGGGGGAATGGTCTGAAGTTACACCAGGGCAGGTTTAGGTTGGACATTAGGAAAAACTTCTTCCCCAAAAGGGCTGTCAGGCTCTGGAATGGGCTGCCCAAGGAAGTGGTCGAGTCCCCATCCCTGTAGGTATTTAAAAGAAAAGTAGATGAGGTGCTGAGGGACAGGGTTTAGTGGTGGGATGGCAAGGTTAGGTTAACAGTTGGACTTGATCTTAAAGGTCTTTTCCAACCTAGACAATTCTATGATTCTATGATACAGGCTGGCCTCTCATCTCACCCTCACTGTGGAAATAAGCTGATGTTTTGTAGATTTTGCAGAAGGTTGGGTGCGGATCCCAAACGTGTCGCAGCACTGGGGAAGGCAGGGCAGCACCAGAGGTCTCGAGAAAGAGCAGAGGTGAGCAATAGGTACAGGGCATCCCGCATCCCTTGCCAGCACGTGCTGGGCACGAGCAGCATCCCTTCTGATGGTTTAGTTGTAACGCGAGGTCTTTCTCCACGC